TATCATTCCACTGCTAAGAAAAACGATTACTCAGTCTACTTACCCTCTCTTAAGTAATGCTTCTCTCCAACAAAGAACATTTTCTTAATAACAGTGTTAGATTTACTCATCACAAACTCAGAAAAGTTCATTGTCTACACATGTATGAAAAGAAAGAATTTATTCTCTTTACAAGAGACTGTTATAAGATTCTATAGAAGAAATTTATAATTGAATATTCGTATGGATTTAATATATTCTATTGAATTCTGTTGAAATGTTAAACTTTTAGTGAGTTTATCAAAACCAAAATTAGCTCAATTTTGCACAATATAAGCAAATTTTTTTTATTTGAATTTAATATTCTTACTTTTATTTAATATTCTTTATCGTAAAATGCTATGAAAAATTTGTGAAATATTTGAGACAAGAACATTTACTTGAAAGCAATATGTATTTTTCTGCATTTACACGCAGAAAAATATCATTCTATTGCCAAGAAAGGCGATTACTTAATTTACTTTTGAAGTAACGATTATCTTCAAGAAACAATATTTTCTTCAGAATAATCTTAAAATAAATCACAAATTTGAGGAAAGCTTATCATCTACTCAGAAGAAGAATCTCTATTCTTTTTTTATATAAGAATATTATACTTATATTTTTTATATAAGAATATTATACTAAAGAAAGAGTTGATTCAACTTTACATGATAAGTAAACCGAATTTTTGTTTTAATTTAATATATTTGTAATATATTCTTAATTAAAAGACTAAACTTACTAAGAATTTACTTTGAATAAATTTAATACATTTAATTTAATTTATCTGACACAATGCAAATATTTATGACAAACTTGTGATAGATTTGCGGACACATAAATTTGTGAGATACTTGAAGCAAACATTTACTTGAATGCAGTATGCATTTTTCTGTGGGTACCTTTTGCATTCCGAATCATACCTTTTGAGTTTTCTTCACAATATAAATTCATTCGCTTCGTGAGAATATCGCGTTTACCTTAATACTTCGATACTCAATTAATGTAACAACACATATATCTATAGAACGATATATTTATCTCGAGCGTACTATTAATAAATAGAAAGTTGATTCATAGAATCGACTAGAACGAAACGCGACGTCGAAGTAGACTCGACGTAGGACCACGAAGGGTTAACGACATTGCCCGATCGCGAACGGCTGGCACTGGTAATTGAGCACTTCGGTCGCATTGGCCCTCTCCTTCCCCTTCTGTACTGTCGACGGAGCGAATTTTCACTATTATCTACGCTACTGGTACGCCGATCACGCGCACGTACACGCGTGTCACGGGCTGGCGCAATGCTTCGCGGCGCCAATCGCGAGATGCAGAATGCACATGCAGTGGCGCATGTTTCGTTAGATCGACTAGGTGCGGGCTTGGGGCGCCGAAAGATGATAAGAGATTTTCTCTCGCTCCTTTCTCTCTTTATGCGAAACAAATAGGCCCGATTGTCCCGAGCAATTTCCCCTTCCATTATTTCTCACAATACCTGATCACATTTTCCAACTCAATTCTGAGGTTGCATTCCAAAACGTCTTTTTTGAGAAAATTTCGATACTTTACACTGAGGGAAAAATTACCTTAAAATCAACAAATATTTCTTTGATATGGGTACCATTAATATATTTATTTAAATCTATATTCTCTTTATTTAACCCAAATATTATTTACTTAAATCAAGTATCAAGTAAAATTTTCCAAAAAGGACATTTTAGAATGCAAGTTGTTTTAATTATTGTTTCGGTTTTACTTTTCACATAGAAGAGTCGCGCTAAGTATCCTTCGCTTGGTACGAGACAAGCTGACGAGGAACTTCTCCGGAGGCTCTTCTCACGAATTCGCGATAATTTCGTCGTCGTGCCGACGACCCGAAAATATCTCGCAAGCTGTGGTTTCAAAGCTAGGGTGCCAGAGACACGGCTACGTCGCTGGTGCACGCATACTGGCAGTGGCTACGGAGCGACGATAACACGGCGCGACGTGTCAACTGGAACGATAAGGGGCTTCTCCCGCGTCGCAGAGATTTTTAATTGCGACGTTCTCTCGCGCCGAGAGAAGAAAGCGGAGGCTGCTGCTCTTCTTCATGGAGCATGAAACTCGGCAGTTGTTTATTTCCGCTATATAGCTGCTTGCGATTTCTGCATTTAAGATCGAGTGTACGTTTCAACTGTGAAGGGTAGACGATGAATAGTGCGAAGCATAAGAAACGCAATATGAAATGGGTATGTCTCTCAAGATGCACAGAAACAGTCGCGTCATCAATTTGAACGGAGCTCTGGAACATCTCTAAAGTATATATATCTGAAAAGTGATGTCTGTTTCTCTCGTTATCGACGAAATTCTTCAGAATCCGAATTATCATAGTAGAAATTACGTTTCCAAGACGAATTAAATTAACCCTTGGCGGCGGCAAACTGTTCCTGACCTTCTGATCAACCGACAAGAAGTCACTTACTCCGCAACGACACCGCGTAATTTGCATGTCTTTAGTTTAGCTTCTTTGCTATTTAATTATTCATTATACAGCTTATTACTAAGTAACAAATTTAACTATTTATGTGTGTCACTTAGCTTCTTTAATTCTTACGGTATTTAGTCAATGAAGTGATACATATTTATGGGAAAATATATCTTTATATGGAGAGTATATTATTAAACAATTGGAAAGTTGGTTTGTAAAGTTGACTAGAACGAAACGCGGTATCGAAGTGGATTCGAAATAGCACCGCGAAGAGTTAAATTAGCTTAGAGATAAGTAATTTAAGATAAAAGTTTGAAACGCTTACATACAAAATATAAACGACCTTGACGCTTATTTAACCAGCTTTTTTCAAAATATATACGCGTCGATTTAAATAGTATTTAAAAACGCCTACATATAATATATTCAGAAAGTTTAGTACGACTTATATTTCATTCTGTAATTTATACGGGATAAAAAACTTCAGTTCGAGTAACCGAACGGGGTGCCGGACGAAACACTCGTCCGAACATTCAGCTTCATTAAAACTCGGTTGAGATAACTGAGAGCAATTGGTCAAGTAGAAACCTCTCCCGCCGGAATCTTTCTGTTCCCGCAATCGAGTTTTTCATTTGGCCCTCAAATAACAGAAAATTCAGTTACACTAACAGAGTTGTTTTTTCCGTGCACGGTTTGCTTCTTTGTTTACAATGGAAATGAAATGCGTATAAATATGCAAAGATCGATAGGAACTTTCCTTGTGCCGTTTGCTTCTCTCTCCTCCCCCTGCCCCTCTCTCTCTCTCTCTCTCTTTTCTCAAAGAAGGCGACTGATTATAACTCAATAAATATCCTTTCTCCGTGTCGTGTATCGCAGGTAATGCTGTAAACTGAAAAGGCGCAACGAGTCGCTGCGAGCCGAGCTTAATTAATCCAGAATGTCAGCGCAACCGGGCCTTACGGCGCGCGCGTGCTCAGTCTCGCCGCACGCGGATGTGAAATGTCACACGAAAACGCAAGTCACGTTTAGGTCGTGGCACAATTAGATCAAACGCAACCCAGCAGCCATCACGCGTAAAAGCTTCCTTCAGGACAGCCGTTGTTGACGCTTCCAATTGACACCGGAAAGTTCCGAGGCTGCTTAGCGTTATTCTTAATGTTAAGTAAATATTTAAATCGACGAGCCCGTTAAAAAAAGCAGGAGAAAAAGAAAAGAACCCACTTTTTCGAAGGTTTCAGGAAAGGATCTCTCAAGTAAGATAAATCTGATGCGAATTGGATCATGCTGAATTGTCGAAGAAGCAAGAAGAAAGAAAGGAAACGTCAATGCGTGGCATTCGTTTTTGTTTCAAAGGATCCACATTATGAGGTGTGTTCATTTTCGAAGAATTTTTGAACTAGTACATAGCATAGTGCGATGAGTCAAAGAAACGATATTTTTGTTTCATATTCTAACTTATTGCATCAGTACAAAAGTTCTTTGAAAACAAACAAACCTATTGTATCGCGCCATTTGATTAAAAATCCAATCGCGTTGTAAATTTTCATCTCCATCTTATCTCCATCTCAAGAAGCCGAATTATCGGCTGTTTCAACACAGCAGAAAATCAACTAGTAAGTGTAATAGAATTTCGTTGGAATACAGCAAGGAAATACGGTTCAAGAATAGTTTATAATTTTAGATAGTCTGTTAGTTGAGTTCCTATTCTGTGCACTTACATATGGGTAAATGTATACGAGTATATGTGTATATGTATACGTACATATACTTATGACTGATAGTTACTATCTGTGGCGTGGTCTAACAATTGACTCACTTGTTCTATCACTTAGTTCGCTTGATAGATTCTTTTGGTGTATTTAAAGTGCATTTATTTTCTTCAGTCGCAATAAACAGAAACGCATAGTTTCTTCTTTTCTTCACGCGTCAATGCGTAAACGTGCACAACGATTCAATTATAAATCGTCGTAGTGGTGATCCACTCTGTGCATTCCCTTGTCTTCTCTCTTCTTATTAAATTTTTTTCTGTCTGTCTGTTTCTCTCTCTCTCTCTCTCTCTCTCTCTCTTTTCGTCAAAATATTCTCTTACTGTGACATGATAATGAAGAAATCACAATACGATAGTCTCAACGATAACAATGGAGCGACAAATTGTTAAGTGTCGCGTGCGAATGTTAATATTCCCAGTAACAATAAAAAGACTGTTCCACACTAAGCAGAGTTCGATCGAATCTTATGTTCCAATAAATCAGGAGATAAATAGGAATACACCTGTATCGATGATCGGGAGCGAGTCAGCGCGAGGCGACGATAAGCGACAACTGCCGCGTAACAAAGCGTTCGCGCATCTTTCTTCTCGTAGCGAACACGCCGGGAGATTATTAGCCGTCGCGATTGGAAAATGATACTTGTAAACCTAATGATCCATCCAACTCGCGGATAACGAGAGAGACGAGCAAAGCGAGATAATGCGTATCGGAGAGGAGTAAAAGGAAGAAGAGTGCACACACACCTGCCAGGCCCATCGCGAGGACTGTTTTTCAACCGGTTGGTGGTCTCTCCGGTCTCCCCCTTCGATCCCGATGGATAGACACTCTCCTCGGGGCACTCGATCACTGTCTCGCGACACTGGTCGTTCGCTCGTTTGTCCCTCGCGATTTGACTTTGCGAATCGAGAAATCGATACGAGCGAGCGCGAGGCGCGCTCGCTCGGACACGCGCGCGCGCGCTTGGAGTTGCTCTCCTCCGCGTGTCCCTCTCTCTCTCTCTCTTTCCCGCGACGACACGACCAGAGACTTCTTTCTTCCTTTCTCCTCAGCTCCTCCGCGGTTCTTTCGTAAGCAGGCGTTTACGCGAGTCCACGAAAATAACCGGCGTCGCGACAGCTCTTGATGATGGCATCTTCTTCTTCTTCTTCTTCTGCGGCTACCCCGGTCGGTTACGAGCGAGACGGACTGACGGATCAACCGACGTGATCGACGTGAAATCGACAACGATCGATAATGGCGCGCCGACGGAGACGTGATCGCCTGCGACGACAGCGATAATGACGGCGGCGACGACGAAGACGTTAATGACCTTCGCCAGACACGACGGCGGTCCGGTGACGACTGGCAAACAGCTGTAAACGTACACACATTTTGCCGCCGTCGCGGCCGTTGCGATGGTGGGAGGCGAATCGTAGATGTAAGCGCTCACGAGCGCGCATTTCATGGGACGAGGAAGAGAGAAAGAAAGAAAGAGAGGGAGAAGAAGAGATACACACATATGACCCTAAAATCCTAAAACGGTACCGATGCAATTGGCACCTTAATGATATTCGCTGTTTATCGTGATTTCCGTGTCTCGCGTCATAATTTCCGCGACTCACGTTGCGAAATTCTCCACGAAGGACGAAACCGCGCACTTGTTTCTCGCGCTCTTTCTACGACGATGAAACACTCGTCCTGAGCGGGTGTGACTGAAAGACGAATTTAAAAATTTGAATGCTAGACACGCCAGGCGATTTGTCTCAGTAACATTGAGATACCGATATTGTATTAATAATTGCACAGAGAAAGTATATTGTTGTTCCTTTCACATATGAGAATCTTTTCGATTATACACACAGAGAATTTTATGGTAAAAATTATTGTTGAGTTTTGTGACCGAATCGATGTTCTGCGACAATTTATTATCCTTCCATTTCACATGTGTTATTTATATATTATATTTATATTAGAAACTGGAAGAGGAGCTATCGAAAAATTTGACCAGCGAAATTCATTATGCAAAATAGACTCTACTTACAGTCTATTCCTGCACTATTAGAAACATAGTCAAATTAAAAAGACTTTATGTGGAAAAAGGATTATAACATATTCTTCATATGCATGTTTTTCAATAGATAAAAAATTAACCAAGAAAACACAAAATGGGGATGATCTCGGAAGAATGTCAGTAGAATTTATTAAGTTAATTTGTTAAGAAATTTGTGCTAATTCGCAAGTTGATTATAATAAATATGGCATATTTTCTACCAGTAGACTCCAGTTCCTAAAATATAAACAGAAAGGGTAATAAATTAAGGTAGAATATCGATTTATGTCTCACGATTACAAAATCTTATAGCAATTTTTGTCGTAATACGTGTTCTCTCCATGCGTTCTGTCTAAATAGGTGCCGTTCGCTAATTCCGGCATTTACATCATAATAAGGGAAAAAAGAAACGATCGGTCATGAATGCAAATCAGAGGATTCTCTGTCCTTGCCTCGAAAAAAAGATTATGGAAAAGAAGTATGTTTTCTTTAAAAGCTGTTCTTCTCTCGATGATGGTTGACCAGTTGGGTCAGATAATACGTTACATCACTGTGGCTCTCACGGGCATGAAGGAGGCGCGCGAATTGCACCGTCCTTTTCTTTGTGTTTTTCTGCTCTGCACAGACAACTACATGGGCGATGGCGACGAGCTAAAAATACAGGAGTATTACACACCGGGATTACGTCGCCGAAAATATTGGTCTGTCTTGCAGCGTCAGAAGTATCATAGCGTTCAATATAGCGCAATTGGCATCGATATCGAGGCAACCGCTCTGTTTGTTGGCAAGAAAAGCCGCGCGGCAACATAATGAATTAGCGATCCTTCGTAACTGTCAATCAGGTGTCCGCGAGAATACGAGAGATAGAGAGAGAAAGAGAGACTCGCTCGACTCGCAGGACTCGACAGAGGCCGAGGACGATTTCTGAGAAACGTCCACGGGGAGCGCGTCTTTTGAAATTTTACATATCGCCCAACAACAATCTGTGTACATTCGTGAATTTGAATTTCTATACGACGGGAATAATAATTTTTCCTAACGCGCTATTCAATCGCTGACAATCGGCTTCTCTTCTCCGGAGTCACTCGCTCGTGAATAATAAAACGAATCGGCGTTCAGAGTTTCTTTTCTTTCTCTCTCTCTCTCTCTTTCTCTCCCCACCTCTCTTCTCGCCCCCGAGTTGAAGCGACGATTGTGACACAAAGAGTACTGAGATTGCTCGCGCTTTTCGCACAAATACACGCGGAGGCGATCGAAGCGGCGCGCGTAACAAAGCTCCCGGGTGGACACAGCCAGTGACTCAGTTGGCCGATGATAAACCGCGAGTGCTCTTATTCCCGTCGGCGGACAATGAGACAGCAATAAGTGATTCATGCCTCCGTTTTCCGTGCTTGTCGCCGACTGTATCACTGGAGCATATCACCGTGCATTCAAGTCGTCATTCGCGGCGCCGTTCACATTGTTCGAAATCTGCACGGGCGCGTGCATCGCGAAAACGAAGATGTATCCGCGTTTATTTTCAGGTATCTCTTCAATGTCTCCCGCGTATTTTTAGAATTTCCATCGTGCACGCACGCGCGCACGCGTAATGAGACTGAGCAAGGTGAGAAAATAATTAATTTAAGGCTTTGTTGATATCTAATCGATAGTAATTAATTGGACGAGCAACGAGAGTCTGTGCTCGGATTTTGTAGTACAATGAAAACAAAACGAAATAATTGCAAAAATGTACCTACATTGCGAGGGAAAAAATATCTAAAAAATTAAAGAAATATTTATCCGATAAATACTGATAACATATTAACTTGAATTTTAATTCATTTTTGCTCTCATGAAAAGCTAAGATTTTAAGAAAATATATGTTTCCTTATTTGAAAAATATTTTATATTAGTATAAATATAATAAATATGTTATTAGTACCCACCGAATATAAATATTTTTTTATTTCTTAGATATTTTTTGTCTCAGTGTAGAAGTATTGTAATTACATTTTTCAGAAAGTTCTGCAATAATACATCATTCTACATTTGTGAAAAATATTTAATTTATAGTTTTTATCATACCACGAAATCCATGGCTTTTATTAGTTCTTCTCTTAATTACTTCCGATCGAGATAATCGCTAATCGCTAAACGTGCTAACGGCGAAACCTCGTAGCAATCCATAATTGTCGACGATTTCGCGCGACGATATTTCCTGTATTATCAATTTCGCGCGATATCTCTATCGAGGAATTATCGAGATTATTGGATTCGCTGTTAAAAAGTGTATATGTCAGTATTATATTTATCCTTGCACGTCAAAAACAAAAAAGGAAGATAGAGCGCGTATACTTCGCGTTTGCAATCTACTACGGAGTTACTCTGACGCGCGAAAGCAATACGATGAAAATGTAATATCGGTTGGGGAGGTAACATCCATTATTCAATTGATATCGGCTGACGTAGTCGTAAACGGTAGAATTCATAATTCGCGAGCGCTCGGTAATCCTTGAATACGTCGTTGTGCGGCAGAGTCTTTGCATACCTCAATTATTCGCCCCGTAACACGAAGATAAGATAAATCCTCGTAATGAGGCTTGTGCAGTCTCTGAAAATACGGTAAATTAATGATATTTTGATCGCTGGCTAAACTTTATTTCAGTACGATCAGCAATTTAAATGACGGTCGCGATGTTACGCGAATGTTAGTTTCTTTCTGTCAACGACAAGATTGGAGAATCGAGTTCTGATGTGTGACGTATTCTTAAAGATAAAATACACATGTGATATCTCTAGAAATAAAGACATCTTTTCATTGATCTTCTTTATATTTGTCGTTTAATAGGACGCTTTTAAAGCTAGTCATAGTTTTGTTGCTTATTTATCTTAAAAAAGAACAAGCGATTTTCATCAATTTTCCAACTTTCTATAATAAAAATTTTTAATTTTCACCTTCTGAAAGTAGCTTTTAAATCTAATTTTTCAACTATTTACACTCATCTGATATATCCCCTTTCTATTCTATATTGAAATAACGCTGAATTTCTAAAATAAAAATCCGGGACTCAAAAGGCTCAAAGAAGTACTTTGTACGAAAAATTCGTTTATCTTAATTTAAAAAATCCGTAGGAGAAATAAAAACGAATTGAATCGTTAAATTACGTGCATGATGTAATATTTGTTTCTTAAAGATATATGTTTTCAAATATGCATATGAAATAAATAAAATCTTACCTATAGCTATTGCGAATAGATTGATATCAATCCGTGCCACATCACGATTTCCCGATATAATTTGAATATGCAGTTGTGTTTGAACAATTTGTACGAATCCACATAATTTATTCCAATGTATGAGTTGATCGGTGCAAATTGTTTCTAAAATTGTTTCTTCTAAGATTTTTTGTAGTTTTCTAAGTACACAAGCAAAAAAACACAACACGAAAGAGAACGCAGACCCAAAAGACGGAGATTGAAATCAACAAACCGAGAAATATCATGTATTTTTTATACTATGTATTTTTTTCTTTCCTCTCTCGATAGATAATTCTTCGTCTTTCCCGACTTGTCCTACTCTTCTCTTTCTTGAATTTATTAATCCTGGGCGATTCAGTCACAATAACCTAATGTGTCTCTATAAATCATGAAGTTGCGTGAAACGAGATTATTCGTATTCACAGTTCACATGATAATACAAAAACTACTGTGCTTGGAAACGTTTGGAAAAGATTTATGCAATAAGTGTCAAATGTCGAGGTTATCTAGAAACACATATCTAGATATGTAGAAATAAAATTATAAGAACAAAATATAAAAGAAATAAATATGTATTATTATATAACGTATAATATATAATATATAACATGAAATTAAAAAAAAAAAAATATAATACGAATTAAAATATATAACATACAAAATATATAACATTTGAAAAAGAAAACATGTTGAAACTTCGAAAGTATTGTGAAAAAGAATGTGTGTGTCTATCCTTATACAAAATAAAATATAAAAAAGTACAATTATATATAAAAAATATATATATATATTGGGAGTACAAATTAGTTCGGTCCGTTTTTTGTGATCAAAAATGCATTTATTTCAGAACAAAATGAATGAACAGATTAATCAAAGTATTGCCCATCGCTGGCTACTACTTTTTCCCACCTCTCAGGTAATTTTCGAATTCCATCTCGAAAAAATGTCTCGTCTTTTGAGGCGATCCAAGTTAGAAGCCAATTTTCGATTTCTGCGAAAGAAGTGAACCGATGACCTACCAAATCGTGCTGCATCCATCGGAACAACCAGTAATCAGAAGGAGCAATGTCCGGCGAATACGGCGGGTGCGGTAAAC